ACAAAAAAGTTAAAAAAAAGAATATGTTTTGAAAATAGCAAGAAAAAGAGGGGCATTTTTGAAAGTCAATGATAGCAAAGATTGTAATGTCTTGAGCTGTTACTGTGTGCCAGCTGCAGGTGCTAGCCATGGGCTGGTGTGCCTTATATAGGATGTTTTCTCATATTGTGATAAAATATACATGAAATTTACCATTTTAACTTTTTTAAAGTATACAGTTCAGTGTATAAAATACATTTGTAATATTATGCAACTACCACTACTCTGTAGTTGCAGAATTTTTTTTGTTTGTTTGTTTGAGGCAGAGTCTTGCTTTGTCACCCAGGCTGGAGTGCAGTAGTGTGGTCTCGGCTCACTGCAACCTCCGCCTCCTGGGTTCAAGCGATTCTCCTGCCTCAGTCACCTGAGTAGGTGAGATTACAGGTACACGCCACCATGCCCAGCTAGTTTTTTTATTTTTTAATAGAGATAGGGTTTAACCATATTAGTCAGGCTGATCTTGAACTCCTGACCTCAGGCGATCCACCCACCTTGGACTTTCAAAATGTTGGGATTACAGATGTGAGCCACAGCACCTGGCCTGCAGAACTTTATCACCATAAAAAGAAATACCTCACACCTTAGCAGCCGCTGCCCAATCTCCACCCCCAGCAAGCCGCAGTGTGCTCTCCATCTCTCTGCATCAACCTGTTCTGGCTGTTTTACATAAATGGGATCGAATGCTATGGGTCCTTTTGTGTCTGGCTCCTTTTACTTTGCTTGATGGTTTCAAAGTCTGTCCATGTCACGGCATGGAATCAGCACTTCATTTCTTTTCGTGGCTGAGTAATATTCTGCATGGATATACCATGCTTTATCCATGTATCCATGGATGACCGTTTGGGTTGATATCTGATATTTTACCATCCATGTGCTGACTGCGTCCATATATTTATACATAGGATCTTGTACTGCTTGAAGCGGACTCATGAGGGCAGGTATTGTTATGACTTTACAGAGGAGGCATCTGGGACTCAGAGAGGTGAAGTGGCTTGCCCAGGGTCACAGAGCAGGGATGGCAGATGTAGGGCTGAAAACCATGGCTTTCTGACCCTGGAGCCCGAGCAGTTAATGATGTATTCTCTTGCCGCTCCCAGGGACCTGTATTACCCTACAGCAGTGGTACCGCAGATCAAACCTGGCTGTGGCCTGCTGGAATCATTTGAAGATTTTTTTTTAAAGATAAAACTGATGCTGGAGTCCTATCCTCAGACCATTTAAGTCAGAATCTCTAGAACAGCTGTTTCCAACCAGGGATGATTTTGCACCCTCGTCCCCAGGGCATATCCAGTCATGTCTGGAGATAATCTTGGTTGTTGAGGGAGGGGGGGAGTGGGGTCCTCCTGGCATCCGATAGGTGGAACCCAGGGATGCTGCTAAACATTGTACAGTGCGCAGGACACCGCCTGCCTGCTGACGACAAAGAATTATCCTGCTCCAAATGGCAAAAGTGCCAAGGTTGAGAAGCCTTGCTTTAGAATTGGGCCCTGGGCTGGACACAGTGGCTCATGCCTATAATCCCAGCACTTTGGGAGGCTGAGGCAGGCAGATTGCTTGAACCCAGGAGTTCAAGACAAGCCTGAGCAACGTGGCAAGACCTTGTCTCTACAAAAATTATCAGGATGTGGTGGTACACGCCTGTGGTGCCAGCTACTCGGGAGGCTGAGGTGGGAGGATCACTTGAGCCCAGGAGGCGGAGGCTGCAGTGAGCCATGATGCAGCCACTGTACTCCTGCTTGGGCGACAGAGCAAGACTGTGCCTTAAAAAAAAAAAAAGAGAGGGAGGGCCTGGGTGTCAGTATAGATATATGTTATATAAATATAAATATATAATATATATTATACATCTATTTATTGTGTATATATATAATATATATATATTTTTTGAGACGGAGTCTCACACTGTTGCCCAGGCTGGAGTGCAATGGCACAATCTTGGCTCACTGCAACCTCTGCCTCCCAGGTTTAAGTGATTCTCTTGCCTCAGCCTCCTGAGTAGCTGGGATCACAGGTGACCGTCACCAAGCCCAGCTAATTTTTTGTATTTTTTTAGTAGAGACAGGGTTTCACTGTGTTGGCCAGGCTGGTCTCAAACTCCTGGCCTCAGGTGATCCACCCACGTCAGCCTCCCAAAGTGCTGGGATTACAGGTGTGAGCCGCTGCGCCCTGCCGGGTGTATTTTTAACTTCCCATTCTAATTGGCCAGGGCTAAGCAGTGCTTCTGAAACGTGATAGTGCAGAAGCATCACATGGGTTCCTTGTTAAACTGCAGATCTGGGCTCGGTAGGTCTGAGGTGGGGCCTGAGGTGTACTGTGTGTCTAACAAGCTTTCCATTGATGTCAACGCCCCTGGCCCACACTTTGAGTTGTGAGACTAGAATATACCTAATGGCCTGTAGGCAGCTGGACTGGACTGTGACTGTTTTCTCTTTTGCAATCTCTTTAAATTTTCATTAAAAAGTTTTCTTCAGGTCGGGAGGTAGGAAATGCAGACTTTGCAAAGGCTGGATCTGTTGGTTGCTGAGACTGTGAGGCTTTGAAGGGAGAGGCAGTGAGGCTGCCGCAGGAAAGACAGGAGTTGTGTTCACAGCATTGTGCGGTGATTCACAGCCCAACTGTCCGTGCCAACCTCCCGCCCAGCGCTGGGAGCTTGCAGCCCCTTCCACTGCCCAGCCCTCCTGGCTGCAAGCCCTGGGCTGGCTTCCCCAGTAGCGATGACTCAGGCTTTCCACCTGTAAAATGGGCGGGAGGCTCTTGCCACGGCCCCACCTAGCCCCGGGGCCGAAAGCCCCCAGCTGCTCCCCAGTTTCATCAAAGGCAGATCTTCAAAGCCGGGGACTTGCTGCTGTTCTTGCTGCTAATAAATCTCAATTTGTGGCAGCTCAGTTAGGAAGTCATCACAAAACTTTGATATTGAAAGAAGGGATTAATAACCCAGCCCACGTGGGAGAGAGTAGCAGCTTCTGCGGAGAGGTCTTTGTCATCTATCCGTGTAGCCAGCAGCCCCTGGGCAGCGCTGGCAGGTGGGTCTCTGGGAACAGAGGGTGCCTGGGCTGAGCTGGGGATGGGAAAAGCCATCGGCGGATTTGTTTGAGTCGTTGCTGGGTAGCACTTTCAAGGTGGAGAATCTGGAAGCCTCTGGCTGGTTCGTGGCAACTCCTGAAATGTTGCCAAATGCATTGTTGCTCCATCATGTGGTTCCAGCAGATGCAGGGGGATGCCGGCGGCCTGGAGGCCCGGGCAAGGCAGGAGGGAAGGGTTAGAACTGGGCCGCGGGCCTCACGCGGTTGCTGCCCAGGCTCCCGGATGGGGAGGTCCTCAGGTTCCTGGCATGGAAGGGGCTGGCTCTCTGCCCAGTTCTTTGGGCTTCAGGAGGAATGCCAAGAGCTCAGACTGACTCACCCCAGGGGGTGGGCCCAGCCTCTTGGCCCACGCTGGAAGGAGAGAGGCCTGAGGAGGCGGGCCCTGGCTCTGGCTGGGAGCTGCTGCTTGCCTGCCCTGGGAAGGTGGCTGGAGCAGGTCTTCATTCTTTTCTGCAGCCTGCCTTCTGCAATAATGGGTGGCTGGCTGGTTAGCCTAAGAGATTGGGCTCTGGAGCTGGAGAAACCTGTTTTTGACGGTTCAGATCTAAGCTTCACCATGTACCCTCGGCTAAGCAGTGACCTCATTTTCCTTAGCTTTGCTTTTCTCCCCAGTTAAATGCGAATCATTTTAATACTTCCTTCCTCAGAGGGTTGCAGTGAGCATTCAAGTATAGCATCCTGGTTTAGCGCTTAGCAGAGGCCTGTCCTATTCCTCCATTTTTCATTTATTACAAATATAGATGAGGACACAGATAATATAGATGTACTGAGAATACGTATTGGGAAATACAGACATGTCCATATCCATCCACTCACGCGTCCATCCACCCACCCACCCACCTGTCCATCCACTCATCTATCCGCCTGCCCACTCACCCACCACTAAGTCCTCCTCCTAGGCTCTTGGCACCATGGGCTTACAGCAGTTCCCGAAAGCAAAGCCCGTCCTTCCTGGGCTTACATGCTGGGGGAAAGATGAAGGAATATAAACCAGTACAAGCTACATGTAATGTATCTGCAAGTGAAAAACTCTTTGGAGAAAAGCAAAGTAGGACAGAGAAAGCAAAGGTGACAGAGAATGAGAGAGAGGGAACAGGGCTGGGTGCTGTTGCTTTACCTGTGGGAGCAGGTGGAGCAGGTTAAACAAGCCTCAGGGGTGACAGCTGAGTAGAGACCTGCAGGAAGTGGAGGAGGAGCCATGCAGGTACTGGGGAAGAGAGACACTAACAGGGGCAGATGCTCAAAGGTAGGAGTGTACTGAGTCTATCTGAGAGACAGAATGTTCTAGAAGTGTGGCTGGAGCAGAATGAATGAGGGAGAGTTCTAGAAAAGGACATCATGGGGGTAGATCATGGATGCCTTAAAGACTATATTAAGTATCATGCATGAATTCCAAAGTCAATATGTCTGAACCCTTCAGGTACAATATCTTAAGTTTAGCATACATGATGCCTTCAAGTTTTGGCTGACATCAAATGTACAAAGAAAGGATATACTTTAACAAAGGAAATCTCTGATAAAGAAGTTTATTTGCCTGTCCCTTTGTAAAAGGATAAAGAAAATAAATTCTCATTTACCTGTCCTCCTTATAAGGACAACAGGCAGCCTCTGGCTTCCTATAAGGAGAACAGGCCTCTGTCCCTTGATTCATGAAAACGAAATGTGTTGTTAGGAGAAAATTAGCTCAAATGACTTAGAGAGCTTTCACAAGGCATAACATTTGTACAGTCATCGACTGTCAAGGGTGATGGTTCTACATTTTAGATAACAGGTGACACAGGTGGACAGAGCATGTCATATCTCAGTACCATGAAATCAGACCTCCGCATGTGAGCAGACATCTCCCTCATCACAGTGACCTTTCTCTTTTGCTTGCAGCCCAGCGATCTGCCCACGAGCTGCCCATGGTTGAAAGACAAGACACGGACAGCTGCCTGGTGTATGGCGGCCAGCAAATGATCCTCACGGGGCAGAACTTCACGGCTGAGTCCAAAGTTGTGTTTACTGAGAAGACCACAGGTTGGTGGATGTTGGAGCTCTTTCACTGTCCCCTAGAACCAGACAAAAGTGATCATCTCTTTCTTCCACATGACATTGGTTTGGGGGGGGTAGATCTTACCATCCAGTTTTATACCCTGCTCTTTTTACTTAATGCGTCTCCAGGGGTTGTGATGGCCACACTGTTCACCACTGTATGAATGTGCCATTCTACATTTTAACTCATTTTAGGTCATTTTGACGGCTACTAATCCCACCCTCAACCCTTTTTAAAAAATTACTTTTTTTCACATAAGGAAGGACATTTTAAAAACTTTTTGCTCTTATCAAGAAGGGAGGCCGAACAGAATGGTGATAAAGCATGCATGAAAAAAAAAAAAAAAAAAGCATGCATGCTCTGGCTCTGGATATCTTGGGTTCTGATCTGGCTTTGTAACCTGCTTGCCCTGTGATCTGAGACAGATTACCTAACCTTTCTGTGCCTTAATTTCCTCATGTACAAAATGATACTAACAAGATTCCTTACCCTATAGGGTTGTCATAAAGATTAAATGAGCTAGTACATGTCAAGTAATTATAATAGCACCAAGTACAGTGTAAGTCAATTAATATTGGCTACCTGGATTTTTATTATAAGCAGTTCTGCAGTTAATCATCTTAGACCTCTAGGATTAATTAATCTTCTTATACATGAATATTATATCTTTTTTTAGTTTATTTAGGGTTTATTCTTAGCAGCGGAATTTTGGACAGTCATTCTGAGGATTTAAATATATATATTGCTAAATTACCTTCCAGAAATCTACAAATTGAAATTTCCATCATGTCAGTAATAGTTTCACCCCATCCCAGAAATGCTATTTTTAAAAAATTAAGTTCTATGTTGCTTTTCTTTGCTATGAGAGGCTTAGCATTTTGTTTCTTCACCATGTGTATTCTTTCTCTGGTGCACTGGTGATGTCTTTTTTCAGTGGGTATGTGGTAAAAAAGATGCTGATCTCAAGTAGGAAAGTATCAGCTTAAGCAATAATTGATGAAACAAAGGTATTGGTAGAAGGAAATTAGCTCAAATAACTTGGGACACTTATTTTGGATACTAGGAACAATTTTTTTTTTCCTTAACTGACATGATTTCAGTAGGTTCGTTCAAAGGGGCGTTGAGGTTTGCCTATTTGTTTATTGTCTTTAGAACAGTCTGAGAATATAACAGGTGAGTTGTCCAGTTGGAAGGACTGTGCCCTGCACAAGGGCACCTCCTCTGAGGGCTGCCATTCAAATTGGATGCATCATCAGTTTACACATTAGTAAGGCAACTTCTGGCAGGTGGAAGCAGACTGTCTTAAGCAAAGCGTGCTTCTTCTAATCTCACACAAAGCCTCCTTCTGGGATGGGCTGGATGTGTGACCAGGGTGTGATAACTGCATTCTCACAGTTGGAAGCATAACAGGAGGCAGAATTGATTTGAAAAGGGTTTGATGATGCCATGACAAAAAAAAAAAAATACAAAAAAGGTATTACGTAACGCTGTGGCACTGGGGAAGGTGGGCTGATAGTTTCAGGATGATTCAGGCACATTACATTTATTGTGCACTTTATTTCTATGATTTTGACATTGTAATAGATAATAAAATAATTACACAGCTCACCATCATGTAGAATCAATGGGAGCCCTGAGCTTGTTTTCCTGCAACTAGACAGTCCCATCTGGGGGTGATGGGAGACCGTGACAGATCATCAGGCATGAGATTCTCATAAGGACGATGCAGCCGAGATCCCACGCATGCGCAGTTCACAGTAGGGTTTGTGCTCCACTGAGAATCTAATGCCGTGCTCATCTGACAGGAGGCGGAGCTCAGGCGATCATTCGAGTGATGGGGAGTGGCTGTCAATACAGGCGAAGCTTCGCTCACTCACCTGTCACTCACCTCCTGCGTGTGGTCAGTAACGGTCTGTGGCCCAGGGTTGAAGAGCGCCCTGGACTACACCACATTCTTAGCCTCAGCATTACTGACAGTTTGGCCAGATCGTCACCGTGGGGGTCTGTCCTGGGCACTGTAGGATGTTCGTCAGCATCGCTGACCTCCACCCTCTTGGTGCCAGTAGCACTGCCCCAGCTGTGACAATCAAAAATGTCTCCAGACCTTGCCAAATTTGCTCTAGGGGTCTGTTGCCCCTGGTCAAGTACCACTGGTCTACGGTCTAGAAATTTTCAGGAAAGACAAGGAAAGGAAAAGAAGAGCATGAGGAAGAGGCAGAATCAGGGTCACCTTAAGCCTTCCGCTGTGCCGCTCAGCAGTGCAGTCTCAGCAGCTGATTGTCAGAATGCTTGCACATCTGCCCCGGGGCCACCCTGCAAAGTGGGCTGCAGGGAGGAGGCCTGGCCTCTGCTTGCTTGGCCTCGAAGGACCGACCCAGCCACACGGGGCTCCATTCCCTGAGTGGTCTCTATTTACACTGAAATCTTTTTGTATATATACTTTTAATCCTTTTTTTCTTTAAAGAAAATATTTTGAGACAGACTGGCTCTGTCACCCAGATTGGAGCACAGCAGCACGACCATAGCTCATTGTAGCCTCGATCTCTTGGGCTCAAGTGATCCTCCCATCTCAGCCTCCCAAGTAGCTGGGACTATAGATGCGCTCCACTGTGCTTAGCTAGTTTTTAAAACTTTTCGTAGGGACATGGTCTTGCTCTGTTGCCCATGCTGGTCTCAAAGTCCTGGGATCAGGTGGCTTGCTTCAGCCTCCCAAAGTGCTGAGATTACAGGCATGAGCCACTGTGCCCAGTCTAATCCTGTTTTTTAAATATCAAGACAGCATGAAAATTTGTTCAGGTATTTAATACATATTCTTTGAGAACCTGATTTTATTTGTTTTGTTTGTTGAGACAGAGTCTCACTCTGTCACCCAGGCTGGAGTGCAGTGGTACGATCTTAGCTCACTGCAACCTCCACCTCCCAGGTTCAAGGTCATGCTTCTGTCTCAGCCTCCTGAGTAGCTGGGATTACAGGCATGTGCCACGACACCTGGCTAATTTTTGTATTTTTAGTAGATAGGGGATTTTACCATGTTGGCCAGGCTGATCTCGAACTCCTGACCTTAGACGATCCATCTGCCTCGGCCTCCCAAAGTGCTGAAATTACAGGCATGAGCCGCTGCACCTGGCCCGAGAACCTGGTGTTAAATGGATGCATTGCATTCTATCATGTTGGGTACTTGATTGAACCATTACCTTTTATTGGGCATTAGAATCACTAGAGTTCACTATGTTGAACTCATTGTGTTGCCCAGGAGTTTAAGGCCAGCCTGGACAACATAGTGAGACCCCATTTCAAAAAACAACAACCAACATCCCATGAGCACTAAGTGCGTGCTGCTCATTTACGTATTTAACTCTAGGAAGGAAAGCTTGTGTTCAAAACCCAGTGCCACTACTTTCTAGCCATATGACTTTGGGTGAGTTACTTAGCCACCCTGGGCAGTGGTTTCCTCATCTGTATATTGAGGACGAAGACAGTCCTGCCCATACACTGGTCCTGAGATTAAGAGTTACATGGGTTAAGTACTTAGAACAGTGCCTGCACAGAGTAAGTTGTTCAATAAATATAAGTGAATACTTCTTGATATTGCTTTTGCCTAAGGTTAAGGTCTTTGTATGGTATAATGGATTTAAGAGATGCATGTTTCTTTTTTTTAAATTTTTTCTTAAGACAGAGTCTCACTCTGTCACCCAGGCTGGAGTGCAGTGGCATAGTCTCGGCTCACTGCAAACTCTGTCTCCTGGTTTCAAGCGATTCTCCTGCCTCAGCCTCCTGAGTGGCTGGAACTACAGCTGTGCACCACCATGCCCGGCTAATTTTTGTATTTTTAGTAGAGACGGGGTTTCACCATGTTGGCCAGGATGGTTTTGAACTCCTGACCTCATCATCCGCCCGCCTCGGCCTCCCAAAGTGCTGGGATTGCAGGCGTGAGTCACTATGCCCGGCCTAAGAGGTGTATTTTTAAGTATCTTGATATACTCTGGGGGAGGCTTACTTTTCAGGTGATGGACCAACATAAAATACTCTGTACAGCAAGAATTTGCTAGGCTCTCATGAGTCAGAGACCAAACTGATGTGGCTAGGGTAGAGGCTAGTTAACACCAGCAAATACGTTTGGATGATTAGGAAGAGGTCAGAACAGAGTTCTCCCAGAGCCAGGTAGAGACATGGCCTTGGTTTGGTCTGGTCATGGGTAAGATAAGAGAGAGTCACAGTGGCTTCTTGAGCAAGGGAGTGGCATGAAATGTAAATGACCAAGTAAGCATCGCCTCTCCAGCTTTGATGCATCTCCAGTACCAGGAAACCACCCTGCTGGTTGCCTTCTGACCTTCACAAGAAGCAAACGGCCTTAAAGTGTTTTACTGGGGGAGGAAAAATGCTAATAAGAGACAAATGCTGGCCTGACACGGTGGCTCCCGCCTGAAATCCCAGCACTTAGGGAAGCTGAGGCAGGCGGATCACCTGAAACCAGGAGTTCGAGACCACCCTGGCCAACATGGTGAAACTCCGTCTCTACTTAAAAAAAAAAAAAAAAAAAATTAGCTGGGTATGGTGGTATGCACCTGTAATCCCAGCTACTTGGGAGGCAGGAGAATTGCTTGAACCCAGGAGGTAGAGGTTGTAGTGAGCTGAGATCGTGCCACTCAACTGCAGCCTGGGTGACAGAGCAAGACTCTGTCTCAAAAAAAAAAAAAAAAAAAAAAAAAGATGAATACTTCTTACTCTCGCCTAGTTGACAGTGCCTCCGTGGGGAGGGGCTTGCTGATGGAACTGTGCAGGGAATTGTTTGAGGCTGGATTCAACTCGAGTTCCTTATGGAGTTAGGAGCCAGCCAGTTTAAAGCACTGAGTTTAATTACTCTGAAGCTACCCAAGGAAATCAGTGAAGCATTTGTGGAATGAATGATGAATGGCATTTATTCTCTAGCTTCTGTTCTCTCGGTTTTGGAAGAAATTTCACATTTACCTCTTGAAGGCAGGAA